GAGTTTGGATACTGTAATACTACTACAGAAGACCTCCATGTCTTCTCTACCTTACTAGTCATCAGAAAATGGCCAATTGCAATAAGAAAGTGGCTCCAGTTTCACTTCTACCTTCTAAATCTCATGCATGGACATCTAAGTGGAAGAACCTAATGTGCAAAGAAATCTAAGAAATGTAATTTTTAGTCCAGACTGGCTCATTAGGAGGTAAGAATAGGTTCTGGGTATCAAATGACACCCAAAGTGTAGGAAAGCCAAGTATGAACCCTTGCTCACAGCATGCACCCTACACATAGTAGAATCATTAACTCATTGCAGGGGACTTGAAGACAATTTTATCCTATCTTCTCATTTTGCAGATGATGAAACTGAAGCCCAGAGAGAGGAAGTGATTGGGGGAGTGAGTAAAGAATGGCATAAAGAAAAAAAAAAAAGAATGGCACAGAGGCTGGCATGGATAGGCTGGAAGAGAAATCTTCAGGAAACTTCTTGGTGTCCAAAGAGCTTCTGACTTTACAAAGATTGAATGTTTTGATCTAATTCAGATCCAAGAGGATGCTGGCCACTAAGAGATGCAAGCATTTTGAACTGGGAGTAGATACGAAGTGAAAGGGCCAAGTGATCCAATTCCAAGCTTCAGGATTGTTTTGTTTTTATTTTTGCGGGGGAAATATTGAAGCAATAGAAAAATTATCTGTAGGAGAAGAAATAGTTATATTCTTACTCCCCCTGCCCCCAGAAAATCTTCCCAGGGTGCTGACAAAGCTCAAAATCTCCAGGTTGGGGATAATTTTCATATGTGCTTTTATGTGAGAATCTAGGAATTGTGCCCAACTACTTGGAAAATGTGAGCACCAGCTGGTTCAAAGAAGCAGTGCCAATAGATGTGAGAAGGCAGGTGCTGGAAGCAGTTCTCTGTGCTCTGCCCTCATCTCTTTCTGATTTCTTCTACACCTCCATGTCCTCACCCTTGCCAAGGCCTTCCTCACAATTCATTTGGGGTTTCCCAGAAAAATGCTACCACCATCCTAGGTTGCCCCACCCTGAAATTAGGATGAGATTACGAGAGGGGTTTACATGTGACAGACAGAAACATTTTACAAGGCATGAGTGTGGCCAATGACAGTTCAACTAGGAGTATGGGAGATAACTTTCAGGGTGGCCTCAATGATTCCCACCTCCTAGTAGTCATGCCTTTATATAGTTCTCTCCCCTTCAATGTAGACTGGATTTAGTGACTCCCTTTTAGCAAGTAGAATGTGGCAGAAATGATGGGATGTCACTTCCAAGATTAGGTTACAAAAATGGACCAAAAACCATAAGATACCTAGGAATAACCAAAGAGATAAAAGTTCTGTACACTGGAAACTATAGAACACTTATGAAAGAATTGTGGAAAGAAATTGTGGAAGACACAAAGAAAAATGTTCCATGCTCATAGATTGAAAAAAACAAATATTGTTAAAGTGTCTATACTTCCCAGAGCAATCTACACATTCAATTCAATCCTTATCAAATTAGCACCAGCATTTTTCATGGAGCTAGAACAAACAATTCTAAAATTTGTATAGAACCAGGTAAGACCCTGAATAGCCAAAGTAATGTTGAAAAAGAAAACCAGGGGCACCTGGGTGGCTCAGTGGTTGAGCGTCTGTCTTTGGCTCAGGTTATGATCCTGGGGTCCTGGGATCGAGTTCTGCATCGGGCTCCCCACAGGGAGCTTGCTTCTCCCTCTGCCTATGTCTCTGCAACAGATGTTGGTGAGAATACAGAGAAAGGGGAGCTCTCTTACATTGTGGGTGTAAATGCAAACTGGTTCAGCCACTTTAGAGAACAGTATGGAGGTTCCTCAAAAAATTGAAAATAGAACTACCCTATGACCCAGCAGTTGCACTACTGGGTATTTATCCAAAGGATATAAACATAGTGATGCCAAGGGGCACATGCACCCTAATGTTTATAGCAGCACTATCTACAATAGCCAAAATATGGATAGAACTCAAATGTTCACTGATAGATGAATGGATAAAAAAGATGTGGTACACACACACACACACACACACACACAGAGAGAGAGAGAGAGAGAGAGAGAGAGAGAGAGAGAGAGATATTACTTAGCCATCAAAAAGAATGAAATCTTGCCATTTGCCAAAAAATGGATGGAACAAGAGGGTATTATGCTAGTGAAATAAGTGAGTCCTCTATGGAGGAGCTAGAACACAAGCTGGCATGATGTTTCTTGGCTGATACCACCAGTGAAAAGGCTCTAGACTTGAAGGAGATAGGAGAACTGAGGTTTAGAGTCATCCCTTTGACTCAGGCGTATCATGTACATGATCCCATGGAATCCTCAACACAATGTTGTGAGGTAGCCATCATTATTCCTGTATTACAAATGGAGAAACTGAAGATCAGAAGAGGCAGACCTGTCTAAGGTCATATAGCTAGGAAGAGATAGACCTGGACATTCTGCTAGAGGCTGAGAGAGGAGTTGCTTCACATTCCTTTCCTTTACTTCTATTCTGCCTAATTCTAGATGCAAGTCTGATAAAATAAGGCAAAATTTGGGGATAGGGTGCTATAGGCATGGGGCTAATGGTGGAGGGACGGCCCCATAGGGGTAGGCATTAAACCTCCTCCAACCTCAAAAAGACTGTGCCTCTCCCAGGGACACAGACAGCTATGGAAAGGAAAGAGAAACCCCTCATAGCTTGGACTCTGCTCTGGGCACAGATTATATAGTGTTTTGGGAAGCTTCCCTCTGGCTTCTATAAGTTTTACCAATAGAAGTGCATTTATGTAGGCAGCTCTTTCCAATGTTCAGGCAAAAGAGCCTTAAGTCCTCAATGTGAACTTTATGAGATACACAAGTGAATCTTCACCACTTTTCCTGTTGAGGAATCTGACAAAGTATTCTGAGGAACCTGCAAGGGAAGGGGCACATGATGAACCCTGGGCCTTTTGCCCCTGCCTAGAAATGTCACAAAGCATGAACTCATCAGACAGGTCTCCTGGTCCTTTGGTTGTGGGCCCTACCAGCCCTAGCTTACACTCCTGTAGATGGTTCTCTTTCACAGGGGTGCCTGACATCTGGTCCCATGCCTCTGGGGTGAGGCAATTGCTGCTCTTGAAATGATTAATCCCATCATTCCTTAGGCCCATGAAGGGATCTGATCGGCAGCTGCCAAAGGTGTCCCTACATCTGGAATCAGCTGGGCCAGATAGCTCCTACCATCCAAAAACTCTCCCTCCAGCTGACATTCTGTCTCTGGGTCCTCAAAAAACATACTTAAGCCTTCTTTTTGGGGAAGGCTCTTTGAAGGCTCTACTGTCCTAATTCTTCCAGCCTGGGTTTCCCTGATTCAGTCCACCAATCAACAACCCTAGAGGAGCAGAAAAGAGATTAAGCAATTGCTTAGAGATGCTCAGGTTTCTTGAGGACTGGACCAAAGTCAGAACTGAAGTTTGGGCTGAAGCTGAGCTGAAGCTAGGGATATTGGCAGGGGCTGCCACTGCCACCCTGGAACATCTGTTGGTGCTGGCCTAGGTTGGAGCTGCTGGCAAATACCTTGCCGCACACTGCAGGGAGACACAGGGCTTCTTACCACTGTGGGCCACCTGGTAGATGAGCAGGTGGGCACTCTGCCTGAAGCTCTTGCCACACTCAGGGCAAATGTTAAGGCTTCTGGCCTGTGTGAGTATGTTGGTGCTGCAGCAGATCTAAACTGTCTACAAAACTCTTGCTGCAACTGGGATACTTACAGGGTATCTCGCCTGTGGGCATGCATTGGTGTTTAAGGAGCTTGGAGCTGTGGTAGAAGGTTTTGTCACATTCTGAATGGGCATAGGGTTGTCCGCCCAAGTGGATACACTGGTGCTCAATGAATTGGGTATGCTCACTAAAGCCATGGCCATGTTTGGGGTTGTTCTTCACCATGCATATGCTGGTGCCAGGCTGTACGAGCTGTTGAAGTTCTTGACACGTTTACAGTAATTATAGGGCTTCTCCCCTGTGTGTGAATGCTGGTGCTTGAACAGATAAAAGCTGCACCCAAAGCTGTCACCAGATTGGGCACAGCAGTAAGGGCTTCACATCCCTGTGTGAGCGCTGGTTCTGCAACAGATTGGAGCTAAGGCTGAAGCTCTTGCCACATAGTCCCTCCAGCGGTAGGGCTTCTCGCCCCTGTGTGCCTGCTGGTGCTGGATTAGAATGGAGCGAACACTGAAAGTCTTACCACACTCAGCAGCTATAGGGCTTCCGCTGGTGTTTAATCAGGTTGGAGCCGCGGCCCGAAGCCTCCCTGCACTCTGGGAGCTCGTGAAACTGGAGGCTTGAGTGGGAAACCAGGGTGTTGCACAAGTTGGAACTGAGGCTGAAGCAGCCGCCACACTCAGGCCAGGGCAGGGGTATGGTTTCTCATCCGTGTGTACATGGTGGCGCTTAACTAGTTGTGAGCCACGCTGGAAGCTTTTGCCACACCCGGAACAACAGGGACTGATTGTCACCTGCGCGGCTGATTTGGTGGTGAAGGAGGTCAGGGCGGCAGGATGCCGTCAGTCCACACTCCCGGCACTCGAAGGCTTTGGGGACTGCAAGACGGTCCTGCCAGAGGCTTCTTCCCTGGGCCACAGCCTGACCTACATCGGTATTTCAGACCCAGCAGCATTTCCCAGGAGGCCGGCAGTCGCCTCCAGGGAGGGCCCGCTGGGATGGGCGGACCTCGGGGCTCCCCGGGATGTCCGCTTCCCCTGCCGCTCCGCGCCGTCCGAGTTCTCCTTTGCCACTTCTGGCCACGTTGACTGCATTGCAGTGAAAACAACAACAACAACAACAACAACAACAACAACCACCGTCTCCCAAACAGCAGCCGCTCAGCTCACAAGCGGAGCCAGGACGGGAGACACTCCGGACCCAGAGCCAGCACCGGAAACGGAAATGTCCACCAGCCCGTGCCGCTCTAGGAAGTGGCAGCGAACGGTCTCGGTAGGTTTAACCCTCTCATTCACCTGACTGAGCAAGAGCTCCGCATCTGCGGCCGCTGTCAGGAATTTGACACTTTTGGGCCTGGCTCACGATCCTGAATCCGTCAGCGCGGAATTCGGCGCCCGGGCCATCGCTGTGGGGCGGCGAAGCGAGCTGGAAGGAAAAGGTGATCGCTGTCGTGGACACGCGGGGTGGAGGGGGTGGGGGCGGAGTGGCCGCGGCACCTGGAGCAGCACGGTACTGAGACTCCAAGGTCGGATGTCTGGGTTCTCCAAAGGGACCGGCCCACCGCGAGCCCCCTGAGAGCTTCCCCTCGGTCCTAAGCCCGGCGTGCGAAGCAAGGCGCAGACTACATATCCCAGCATGCACCGAACGCGCCGCTGGGGTTCGCACAGGGAGTAGATAACCACTACAGTCTACGTGCGTCCTGCGACTGTCCGAGCCCCGGGACCGAGAACTACAACTTCCAACTTGCAAAATCACTGCGGCGGCGCTGCTTAAAGAGCGTCAGAGAGGAGGTGCCCGGCCCCGCCCCGCCCCTCTCTTCCAGTTCCGTTCCCTTGGAGGAGCGGCGAGGAGGGGGGCGGAGCCTTAGGCCTGAGCCAAGATGGCGGCTGCGAAACCGACCCTCACGGACTCGCTCTCGTTCTGCCTCGCGCAGCTCACGGCGGCGGCCGGGGAGGGTCTAGGTGGGGGAAAGGACACAGCTACCAACGAGACACCCTTGGGCCGTGCGCTCTTAGCCCTCCGCACGCGCCACGTCAAGGCAGCAGGGGGAATCGAGCGCTTCCGGGCGCGCGGCGGGCTCCGCCCCCTTCTCGCGCTGCTACGGCGAGCGGCTGCAGCGGGCCCCGCCCCGTCCCAGGCTGGCCCCGGCTCCGCCCCCTCGTCCGTCGAGTCAGCGGCTTCTGCTGGCCCCGCCCCCTCGCCGGGCCCTGCCCCCTCCGCTGCGTCCTCCTCGTCGTCGCCCTCGCCGCCAGCGCGCCTGCGCAAGACCCTGGACTTGGCGCTGAGCATCCTAGCCAACTGCTGTACGGAAGGGGCGTGCCGGGCTGAAGTGCGCAGACTCGGAGGCATTCTCCCTTTGGGTAAGTGCTCCGCCCTCTTTTCCTGGAAGGGTTCCGCGCTCCAGTCTCCTCTCCGGGCGTGGGCGGGGCCTGGGGTTCTTTGTGTTGGTGCCTTGGCGGCGCAGCGCCTCTGCCTGTCGAGCCTCCCTTGTAGATTGCCCCCGGGCCTGACCAGATCAGCTAATCACAGCCGTTCCCTGCGCACTGGCTGTTCCCTCGAATCTGGGCTGGGGGAGGCCACACGGTTGTCTGATGACTTCTGGGTGATTCGTACTCTTCCACCTCGGAGTGGCCCCTCTACCCTCTGATGAACTTGGGTCAGAAGGTGTGGTCGTTCTCTGCACCGAGCCAGACCCTCCAAAGCTAGGATCCCTCATTGTAAGATGGAATAATAATAATAATAGCGACCTCGCAAAATTGAAGTAGGGAGAGAATGAGATGCAACTATAGGACGCAGATATTCTTTTTTTTTTTTAGGATTTTATTTATTCACGTGAGACAGGCAGAGACACAGGCAGAGGGAGAAGCAGGCTCCGTGCGGGGAGCCCGATGTGGGACTCGATCCCGGGACTCCAGGATCATGCCCCGAGCCGAAGGCAGACGCTCAACCACTGAGCCACCCAGGCGTCCCGAACGCAGATATTCTAAGCATAGACTGGGTACTCTGGGTTGTCAAAAACTAGCACAATAACAAATCCTAACAAAAGAAAACGAGCTTTTTTTTTTTTTCTTGGCGCCTCCTAGTGGCAAAGTTGGGAATACAGTTTACACACGGCCCGCCGGTTAGGAAAGTAAGTATGCCAGTTTTGACAAAGTCTTATTTTGGATAAAAGGAGACTTTAGCGTATTTTAAACCTGTTAAAAGGTGCGCCTGGACCGTAACGTGTTTGACACGAGGCACGTTAATAAGTCCTTAATAAATAACGGGTTTTGTTATTAGCATATGACCCTCATCATTCAGTTACTGTTCTATATTTTAAATATGTCCGGAATCCGTCGCCGTTTATTACTTGTTTCGTCATGTGCCCAGGAACGGGTGCCCGCGTGTTGGTCTGTGCTGGTACCTGACTTGGTTTAAGCCACTGTCCTTTCTCACCTTAACAATTGGGCCAGCCTCCTTGCTGGCCAACACACACACACACACACACACACACACACACCCCGCCTTATTGGCCTGGCATTCGAGGCCCTCCATGAGATCATAGCTCAGACATTGGATCTCACTTCTGGGCCTTTGCAAAGGCTGCTTCTGGACCTGAAATGCCCTGCGACACCCCCATCCACCATCTTTCTTAACAAATACCTGCCTGCTTAACCTTTCAGACCCATTATGTGTTAACCTCTTCTGGAGGCCTTCGCTGACCCTTTCAGACCACATCCTTGAAGTCATTAATGAGAGAGATAAGAAGGGGGTAGGACCCTCAAGAGGCCAAATTCTCTTGCAGTGACTATTCTTCAGTGTGTGAAGACGGATAGCATCCAGAACCGAACAGCCCGTGCTCTGGGGAACTTGGCCATGGAACCCGAGAGCTGTGGGGACATCCATTCTGCTGGTGAGGAGGCTCTGAGCATGGACTTAGCCAGTGCTTGGGTGGGAGAGGGGCTCGGGTACCTCCTTGCTCACTCTTTGTCCTCCTCTTCTCCAGGTGCTGTTCCCTTGCTCGTTGAGAGCCTGACAGCCTGCCAGGACTCACAGTGTCTGCAGAGTGTGGTGCGCGCCCTTCGCAACCTGGCGGACTCACCCCAGCACCGCCTGGCCCTGGCGCAGCAGGGAGCAGTGCGCCCTCTGGCTGAGCTTCTGGCTGCTGCCCCAGACCCTGCGCTGACCTTGGCCCTAGTCCGTGCCCTCTTGGAGCTGAGTCGAGGCTGCTCCCGGGCCTGTGCTGAGCAGCTAAGTCTCGGTGGGGGACTAGGACCACTGGTCAGTTTGGCCTCCCACCCCAAAAAGGCAGTACGAGAGGCAACTATCCTGATCCTCGCCAACCTGTGTGCCCAAGGCCTTGTACGGCCTGCACTGGGCAATGCTGGTGGGGTAGAGGTACTACTGGGTGAGCTCCGGCGGCGCAGAGGGCCCAATGGGGCTGGCCCAGCCTCCCAGCAGCCCCTGGTGCGGGCTGTGTGCCTGCTGTGCAGGGAGGCCATCAACCGGGCCCGGCTGCGGGATGCAGGTGGTTTGGAGCTGTTGATGGGTCTGCTACGGGACCCTCGTGCCAGTGCCTGGCACCCTCGCGTTGTGGCTGCGCTGGTGGGCTTCCTCTATGACACTGGAGCCCTGGGCCGGCTCCAGGCTCTGGGACTCGTACCTCTCTTGGCTGGGCAGCTGTGTGGGGATGCTGGTGATGAGGAAGAAGAGGGAAGAGAAGCTGCTTCCTGGGACTTTCCTGAGGAGCGGACCCCTGAGCGGGCACAGGCTGGAAGCTTCCGAAGCCTAAGGTGAGTTCCCACCTGATGGCTGGCTCTCTCCACTGCCCTACCCTCATCCCCTACCCTGTCTCAACAGGACTCTTAGTGTTTCTTTTCTTTTTTTTTTTCTTTTTTTTTTTTTAAAGCAGGACTCTTGTTGACTCTGATTCCTGACTCCTTGTTCTCCCTGGACATGACCACTTTCTAGTCACCGTTAAGCACATGTCCTTTCTTCCTTGGTCTGCGTTTGGCCTTGGCTCTACCCCAGCACCTCTGAACTTGGGGACCAGACGGATTCACTGGGCCTTTCTAAAAATTTTGTTGCCTGTTTGCCCTTCATTTGAACATAAATTCTAGGAGGACGGGGACTTTAGTTTCGTTCATTGTTTGTGCCTAGTACCTAAATCCTGGGCTTGGCACATGATAGGCATCAGTAATTGCTGAACGAGTTGGGTTTTTTCCTCCATTTCTCTTTCTCTCCTACCTCCGCTTGGCCATACCTCCTCCCTCTGCTTCAGTCACCTCCTTTTGCAGGACAGCTCTGTGGCACTGCTCCTTTACGTTGGCTCTGGGTTCAGTGTCTCCTTTCTCCCCTCTGCAGGTCATGGCTGATCTCTGAGGGCTATGCCGCAGGCCCAGGAGACATCTCTCCAGACTGGTCCCCTGAGCGATGTCCCCCGCCTCCACCACCACCACCAGAGCCAGCTGAGCCAACCAGCCCCACCCTGGGTCCAACGCCACTGCGGTCGCCTCGCACACTGCGCACACCTGGCCGCAGCCCTGCTGCCACCTCTGAGGAGCCTTGGGGCCGTGAGGGGCCAGCGCTGCTGCTGTTGTCACGATTTTCGCAGGCTCCTGACCCAAGTGGGGCACTGGTTACTGGTCCGGCCCTGTGTGGCCTGCTGGCCTATGTGACAGGCTCACCGGGCCCACCGAGCCCACGGGCACTACGCATCCTGGCGCGCCTTACCTGCAACCCTGCCTGTCTTGAGGCCTTCGTGCGCAGCTACGGTGCTGCACTGCTGCGTGCCTGGCTTGTGTTAGGCGTTGCCCCAGATGATTGGCCCACGCTGCGTGCCCGACCAGCTCGACGCCAGCACCGGGAGCTGGGTGCGTCTCCCAAAAGAGCCCCCATCCCCCTCTAGTTCTGGACTGAGACCCTCACCTTGCTGCTCATGGCTCTCACTGCCTCTAGCCCACTATCCAACTTCAGTCACCACGTGGGAAGAGGTGAGGGACTCCCACCATGCAAAGTTCTGCTCCATCCTCTGTCCAAGTCTTGGGGCCTAGGTACCCCCAAACCAGGCTTGGCTCCAGCGACTTAGAATCGTGTCTGTCTATATTTCTTTACCCAGTCTGCTCTTCTTTACCCAATCTCACATTGTCCTGACTGGCTTCTCATTGGGCACACTGACTTGGAAAGCCCCAGCTCAGGCCCCATATGCTCCCAGGTGCCCCCAGCACTCCCAACACGGCCAGGGACTGCCTTGTCTTCTGTGCACTGACTATGGGCCAAGCTGGATGTACTCCCTGACAATCACACTTTTTTCTTATCCTTGACCTCCAGTTCCTAGCATTTAGACCTTTTCCCTCTGGGCCTATAGTCATCCCCTCTTGTGTGCCCTGGGGTTTTAGCCTCCTTTCTTTCAAGGACCCACAGCTGGGACATCAGCTCCCAACCTGACCTGCTCTGCCCACCTCTGCAGGTGAGATGTTGCTGCAGAACCTGACCGTGCAGGCTGAATCACCCTTTGGAGTGGGTGCCCTCACCCACCTGCTGCTCTCTGGAAGCCCTGAGGACCGTGTGGCCTGTGCATTGACCCTGCCCTTCATCTGCCGGTGAGGGGGGATGTGGGTGCCTCACAGGGGTCGGGAGCAGTGCCACTTATTTCACCTTCTGAAAGAGTCCCTTTCTTCCCAAAGGAAACCCTCTCTGTGGCGCCGGCTACTTCTGGACCAGGGCGGCCTCCGACTCCTCCTCTCGGCACTAACTCGGCCAGCTCCACATCCACTCTTCCTCTTCTTTGCTGCAGACTCCCTTTCCTGCCTCCAAGGCCTAGTGTCTCCCACTGTGATCCCAGCCCTTCCACCTCCAATGCCCTTGGACCTAGATGCTCCCTCCCCTTGCCTCTATGAACCTCTGCTGGGTCCAGCCCCCATCCCAGCGCCTGACCTGCACTTCCTGCTGGACTCAGGCCTGCGGCTCCCTGCCCAGCGAGCTGCCTCAGCTACTGCCTCACCTTTCTTCCGGGCCCTGCTAGCTGGCAGCTTTGCTGAAGCCCAGATGAACCTGGTGCCGCTTCGAGGCCTGTCACCCAGCGCAGCCTGGCCTATCCTGCATCACCTGCATGGTTGCCGGGGCTGTGGGGCTGCCCTGGGGCCCATTCCCCCACTGGGTCAGCCGCTGCTGGGTTCAGAGGCTGAGGAGGCACTGGAGGCTGCTGGCCGTTTCTTGCTGCCTGGGCTGGAGGAGGAGCTGGAAGAGGCTGTGGGCCATATTCACCTGGGACCCCACGGTGGCCCAGAGTCTGTGGGTGAGGTATTCCGCCTGGGTCGGCCCCGGCTGGTTGCCCATTGTGCCCGCTGGACCCTGGGGCCGGGGCAGTGCCCGCGGAAGCGGGCCTTGGCCTTAATGGGGCTTGTGGAGGCAGCTGGCGAGGAGACTGGGCCCCTGATGGAGGCTTTACTCGCTGTGGTGATGGGAGTTGAATTGGGGGGCAAGGGCTCTAGCTTAGACTGCTGATATCTCTGGGGAGGGGATCCAGGGATGAGTTGGCTATGAAGGAGGACTCCCTCGGAGCAGCAGGAGAGGAAGCTGAGCAGACATCACCATCAGGGACCGACGAGAGGATGGAACTGCAGGATGATGGTCTGAAGACGCAGGAGTGAGAAGCCAAGGCCCACAGTTTGAGTGTGGACCCAAAGATGGAGAACAGCCCGGGGCCCCAGGCACCTGGCCTGGCCCAGCCTTCCAGAGTTGAGATTAAAAACTTTGGAATTGGATACCGTATGGTGTGGTGTCTGCTTGCTTTCCTGTGGTCCCCTCACCCCACCAATCAACTAGGTCTTATTCAGGTTGCTGTATCTCAATATGGGCCACCCTGGCATATAGGAGTTTAATAAGTAAATTTCTGGAGTCCTGGGCTAGAGTAGGGTACTGGAGAAAACCTGCTTCCAGCTCCTGCAACTTCATTGCTCAGACAGCTACCCAGCTAGACACACAGATTAGTCAGGGATGAAGGGGCTGGGCCAAGGGAATGCAATGAGCACGGGGATGTATGTCCAAGGCCTTGGCATTACTGTCTCCTGAGTGTCTTTCACCCACCTTGGGCCTTTGGTCTCTGGGTCTGTTTTCATCTCTTGGGTCAAGTGTCCTCTGCTATAAGACCCACTGTGTTCCTGGAGTCCCCGAGGGCCCGTCTTAGTTTTACTTAGAGATAGCCAGGGCCCCAGACTACATTCAGGTTAAGGAAGGGCTTATGTTGTACTGTGGTGTCTCGAGGCAGGGTCTCTCTAGCACTTGGATCCCAGATCACTAGCTGCTCAGGTGACCTCCTGACGGAGTGTGGCTGGACTGCGCCTGCCTGTCGGCTAAGGCTGACACTTGTTATCTCTGTACCTCTGTGAGTGTTTGTCCCGTTCCTTGTTCTCTGGCTCTGCGTTAGAACCACCCAGAGAGCTTTTTAAAAATACTGATACCTAGGCACTTTCTTACTGAGTTGGGCTGAGGGGAGGATGCCCCGGGCATCAGTATTTTTAAAAGCTTCCCAGGTCGTTATAAGCTGCTGCTGGGTTGAGACCAGTGGCTGCACCACCGTCCTGTCTGTCCATAGTCCTTTCTAAGTGTTATTTCATTTTGATTTCTCAGGGTCCCAGTCCAGGGAAGGCCTCTTGTTCCTCTGTGACCGGAGTCGGTGTCTTTTTTGTCTGTGTTCGCCAGGATCTGGGGAAAGGGCTCTTTTGGCTTGTCTGGGCTGCCTCGGTGTTGGGGAAGGGCTTTGTCGTGAAGGCTGGCTGTGGTCTGGCTGCCTGTGAGTGTTTTTCTGGAGTCTGCATGGGCTCTGGGCCTGGGTTCAGTTTACCTGTGTCTGTATGTCTGTTTCCAACCCTCGAAGAGAAGGTCCTTAGATCTTAGAGGGTGGCAGCATTCGTTGTGTCTGTCTGTCTGTCTGTCTGTCTCTGTTTCTGAGAGATTTGTGTCTGGTGTGTGGATCTTTGGGGATCTCTGTTCATGTCATGGTCAGGGTCTCTAAAGGAAGGTCTCTGAACCTGTCGTCTGATCCTTTAAGCCATCACTCCTGCCCTCAACCCAAAATTCTGTCTGGAGCTAATCTCTCAGGAATGGCCCGAGTGGACAGGACTTCTGTATGGGACTCAGGGTGCTAGCTGTGGGAGGTGTCTGCTTGGGGGCGTCGGCCTGTGGCGAAGGGTCTCATTGAGCAGAGGATCCCGAGCCGGCTCTGGGAGAGTCACTTCTCGGACTTTGGCTCCGGCCGCCCCGGGGCTCCCTGCAGCGGAGGCCAAGGCTGGGGTGTGGCTGCCTCGGCGCGGACGGGCGGGCTGGGCCTGGGTGGGCCGCGGCCCTCCCTCCCTTACACGCCCCCATCCCGAGTTCTCCCGTTCTTTGCACCCCCGCCCCCCCAGCCCCATCCCAGCGGGTCCCGGCTTCCTTACATGGTCACGGCCGGGCCTCCAACTCCCGGACGTCCCCCCGCCCCCCGCCCCCACCGGACACAGCCCCCGCCCTGCTCGCCCCGCGCGGTGCGCCCGCGCCCCGCCATGGAGGACCTGGGTGAGTGGGGCTCGGGTCCCCTTGTCCCTAGCTCCTCACCGCCGTCTGGACCCGCTCCCTCGCGCTGGAAACCCCTCGCACTCCCCGCATCTCCCCATCCCCGCCTCCTGTCTTCTTGATTCTGGCCTCTGCCCGCGCCTCCTTTCCGACTCCACGTCCCCCTTCCTGCCTCTCCCTTCCTGCTTTTCCCGGACCGGCCGCTCCCTCCCTTTCCCCCTTGCTCGGCTCCTCCACCCCTAGCTGCTGACAGGCCGCCGGGGAGGTGCAGCGCCCACCAGTGGGCACCTGGGCTCAGGGGCTCCGGGGCGGGAGGGGTTAAAGGGGTCTGGGGTCCGGGCGCTGGGCGAGTAGACAGGAAGGGAGACCACGACATCAAATTCTAGAGGGGAAAACAGGCCCTTCTCAGGGGTTGGGGAAGAAAAGAGTTAAGTGCCCCTAAGGATGGTAGTAGGTGGGCGTCAGGTCTTTGGGGGCAGAAAGAGACTAGATGAGTGCCAGGACTCCAGAGACCGTAAGGTTCCACTACGGTTCTCAGAGATGAGTAAAGGAGCAGGCACTTCCAGGCTCTGGGAAGGAAAGGGTTTAAAGGATCTAGATCTGGGGATGGGAGGTGGGGGTGGGGGTGTCTTGTGGAGGAACGAGGACCCAGGCATCTCCTCCTCCTGGCTTGTTGGAAACGCAGGGAAGGCTGTGCTCTCCACGCGAGAGAGGGGGTTCATGCACCCTGCGATAGGGGGTGCTGCTCGGCTGGGGTAACCGGCGCTGTGGAAAATAAGCCAATGGGAACGCAGGTCCCGGCTGACCCACCAATGAGGAGCGCAGGGTGGGACCCAGCGCCTGGAGAAGCGCCAGGGCTGGGCCGGCCTGTTTAGGTCCGGGAGGGGGCAGGAATTAGTGGGCTGAGAGAGCACCCAATCAGAAAGTTGGGTGCCAGGCATACGGCCAATTGAGCAATTTGGGGTGAAGCCAAATTTGGCTTGAGTCAAGAGTCAATTTTGACCGCATCGGGGAAGATGTGGAGAATAGAAGAATCAGGCAGCTTTTGTGCGCGACTCCCAAGATGAGCGATTCGGGGTGTTTGGGTCATAAATATTCCTTGCTGCGCTTCTCCTTCTCTGCCTCGGGGTGGCCTATGTTTCCATCCGGTTCTTGACCTCTGCTCTTAACACTGCCTTCTGTCCTCCTCAGCTACTGCCCGTTCCGAACCCTATCTCTAATCTCTGAAGGCCCTGTCTCTGCTCTAACTTTAAACTCTCAAATTCTCACCCTGATGGCCTCTCCCATGCAGATGCCCTGCTCTCTGACCTGGAGACCACCACCTCACACATGCCAAGGTCAGGGGCTCCAAAAGACCGATCCCCGGAGTCTGTCGCAGCTCCCCTGCCCTACGGCCACCAGCCGCAGGTGAGATCAAATACTAGAGACTGGGGCAAGACTAGGGCCGAGCTTGGCCAGGGCTAGGGGAATCTGGGCTTGAGGGCGGGCACAGTACATCCCACCACACATGTGTCCTTCTCTCTGTAGACAGGGTCTGGGGAGTCTGCAGGCGCCTCTGGGGACAAGGACCATCTGTACAGGTGAGGGGCCTGGGACCTAGGGGATGGGGACGCCACTTGCGACTCAGGTAAGGAGCCTTGGATTCTCCACCCCTGACCCCAGACTCCCACCCTGTTTTCCAGTACGGTATGCAAGCCTCGGTCCCCAAAGCCTGCGGCCCCCGCAGCCCCTCCATTCTCTTCTTCCAGCGGTGTCTTGGGCACAGGGCTCTGCGAGTTAGACCGGTTGCTTCAGGAGCTTAATGCTACCCAGTTCAACATCACAGGTACCAGGTCACAGAGATAGGCCTTGATGGGCTGGGGACAGGGCAGGGAAGGGCAGACACTGAGCAGTCTCTGCCTCCCAGAGTAGCAACTAAAGAGACACAAGCCTTAACAGGGTGGGGGTAGGCTCTGGTCCCATGTCCAGTGACCTTCTTTCCTCTCTGCAGATGAAATAATGTCTCAGTTCCCATCTAGCAAGGAGACTGCAGGGGAACAGAAGGAGGACCCATCTGAGGACCAGAAAAGGCCGAGCCTGTGAGTTTGACATAGTTGGCAGAGCTGGGAGAGATGTGACGGGTCCCTGAGTTACTGGAGGATAGCATTCACTACTCTGGAGGGCTCTGAGCTGACACAAATTATGTTCTTCGCAGCCCTCCCAGCCCATCCCCTGTGCTCCCAAAGACTTCAGCAACCTCTGCCACCTTGGAGTTGGATAGATTGATGGCTTCGCTGTCTGACTTCCGTGTCCAAAACCATGTGAATCAGGTGGGGTGTGGTCAGTGTGGATTTATGGCTCCCTGACCCTTTTTAGGACCTTCCACACCTGCTGCCTTGCTGACTCAACTCTCATATCCTCCTTGTTGCAGCTTCCAGCCTCTGGATCAACCCAGCCACCAGTGCCAAGCTCTGTGAATGAGGGCTCCCCGTCCTCACCAGGGCCAGCTAGCAAGGGCAGCCTAGACACCATGCTGGGGCTGCTGCAGTCTGATCTCAGCCGCCGTGGTGTTCCCACCCAGACCAAGGGGCTCTGTGGCTCCTGCAGTAAGCCTATTGCTGGGCAAGTAAGTGGAGCCCTGTGAGTAGGGCGTAGAGACCCATGGACCCATCCCTACTGGGAGCCAGACTTTGCACTGTTCCCTTTTAATAAATGATCTAGGAAGTGGGTATTACCATTGTTCATATTTTACAGATGAGGAGACTAAAGCTCTGAATCCTGTAGCATGTAAGTGGCAGATGAGAATTCCCACCCAGTTACCATTTATAGCGGTTCTACTGTGTGCCGGCACAGTATTAGCTCCTTTACAAACCTCCATCTCAGTCTTCACAAATGTCTTATTGCTGCCACCTACCATCTCTCAGGCACCAACAAAGACTGTTTCTCCTCTACCAGTATCTGGTCTGCGAGCTCTGCTTCTTGGCTTATTGACTGAGTAGATGTTATTCATGACAGCTGTGCCCAGCAGTTGACCTAGATCCTCTTGCTGTATTTAGTGCCCTGCTTCCTGCCCCAAATTTCCAATCTTAGTAAGGCAGGGTGGCATTATGACTTGTGTGGACCCTAGGCTCTTTCACCTTCATGGGTCCCTTCCTCTGTTAGAAAAAAAGTTAAAATTGTGGTTTATGACTGTGTTTGTGTGAAAATGAATATATATATAATATATATATTAAAT